ATCTCCATGCGTACCCCCCCAAAATTTCTGGATATTGCCTTCCAACCCTGGTGCCCCCAGGGAGGCATTGCTCCCACGCCTTGGCAGCTCACAAGCAGTGGGCGGAACAATTTGGGATCATCTGGTTTTCAGCAAGAAGCGGGGAGGCTGCCGGCTGTTTCTTTTGTGTCATGTATCTGGCGTGGGTATCGACACCAAGCCATGCGTGGAAGGTGGCTGACTGGGGTGAGAGGGTCTGGTGTGCCTCCGGCCGGGTCTAGCACCAACAAGGTCAGCCAGGGCACAGAGGAGAGCTGGGGGCGAAGTGGGGACAGACACAGCCTCAGGGGGCCCGGGGCTTCGCTCCCCAGGGGTCCGTGCCCCAGTGCAGCCCCTGCACAGCCACGCGCCGTGTGGTTGTATGGTTGCCTCAAAACCAGCATTTGCCATGGAGCTAGCCTGCCAGCCATGGATGAGGTCTCTAGGCATGGGGCATAGAATCAGAATGGGTTGGGTTGGAAGGGACCTTTAAAGGTCATCAAGTCCAACCCCCCTGCAATGAGCAGAGACATCTTCAACGAGACCAGGTAGCTCAGAGCCCTGTCCAACCTGGCCTTGACTGATTTCAGGTATCCAGGGTCCCGTTCTTTCCAGGAGGGACCTTGGGCTGGCTGTTGTTCCTCTGGCATCTCCCCTTTGGCACCACCTTCCCATCCTCGTTCCGCCACCAAAGCACTCAGTGTCCAATATCGCACCCACACAATCCCCAGGGACACCTGATGGGTTCACGTGCACATGGGTTGGGAGACAATGTCTGGCTGGCAGAGAGCTTTCTCTAAAGATTATCAGTAAACTAGAGGGAAAAACAGCATCACTGCACGTCATCCCATTTTCAGTTCCAGTGTGGATGCTAAGGCTACACAGAGTGACATGGTTCTCCATGACCATGGAGGTGCTTCAGATGAGGCAGTTGAGTCCCTGCTCCCCTCCTTGCAGCAAAAGAAAGGAACACACTACAAATGGCCATAAGGAGAGTGGAAAAATCATGTTCAGCCGAGTTTCTTGTCATTCTTTCCTTTCGTAGCTAATCAGCTCCTAGATGGTGAGCCCGTAACAATCATTAGATTAATTTCTTTCCTTGCTGTGACTTAATTGTCTCCATTTGTGTTGTACAGCGCTTGCACTGGGGGATGTATTTTTGCTTGCCTATATTTAGTTTGATCTCTATCATGATATTGAAATATATAAATTAAGGCTGGCTCTTGGGTGCTTCAGGGCACTGAGATCCTGCAGATGATTTTCTGTTGGTTTTGTGCCATCTGGTACTTCGACAGCTGGGCACTGGGAGATGCCAAGGGCAGCGTCAAACCGTCCATGGTCCCTCGGGGTCCACATGAGCAGAGGAGCTGCGCTGGGGGGGG